AAGAGGCCGGAAATCCCACCCCCACGCGCCACGCATGCCCACAAATGCCTCGTCCTGCTCCGTCATTGGCTGATGCCTGCGTCCTGTATCCCACGCTTTTCCGGGTACCATAGATCTCAGAGTTACAGCGGCCACCGAAGGGGTTCGGCCCCAGGGACTTCCAGAGTTCGGCCAGCTGCCCCCGAGAGTTCCTGCAAAGTGCTGCTCCTACCACAGGGAGCGGCTTTGTTGGTTTTTAAAGTCCAAAGCCTAGAACTAGTAGTTTAGTTGCTCCCACTTCCTCTTCCTGAGGTAAATGACACATCATTCAAATGTGTCCAGCACTTAAGAAATCAAAGGAGGCCGTGCACTGCTGGAAAGATGTTGCTCTTCAAATGCTTGCAGCCTGAAGCGTTAGAGTCAGTTTTGCAATTGGTCGGGAACAATACAAAAGTCCCCGTTATCATAAAAATTCAGCCCAGTGCATTTTGAAGGTCTTCAGGATCAGTCACTCATTTGTGCATTGGGCAGCATCACATCTAGCAAGTTAAGGGAAGCAACAAAGAGCTAGAGAAAGGGTAAGGTTTTTAAAGGTAGAACAAGAAGTTCATAAACAGAAAAAGGATTATGTCAGGCGAGGTCACTTTGTTATGGGACAAAAAGGTCTTATCAGCGGAATACCTCATCTTTGGGCGACGCAGAGGACCTATTCGTGTGGCCGATTACCCTTTTGGTGCTGACCACAAAATTCCTCACTGACCAGTGGAAACTATATTTCTGGGTAGCGCTGAAGTTGTATGAACTTAGGTATTGTACCCTGCTTTGGTGACATGACCCAGCAGAAGTGACTCCATTTGGGGCATGTGGTTCCCTTTGTCACACCCTATACAAGTCCGTGACAGGGATGGTAGGCCACCCTGAATTAGGTAAACTGACAACGTCAGCCTCTGGTTCCACACAAAACTTCATATGCCCATATCGTGATTGTTGTCCCATCTTTTTTTTTTTTTTTTAATTTAATGTTTATTTACGTTTGAGAGAGAGCCAGAGTGTGAGTGGAGAAGGGGCAGAGAGATGGAGACACAGAATCCGAAGCAGGCTCCAGGCTCTGAGCTGTCAGCACAGAGCCTGACGTGGGGCTCAAACCCCCAAACCACGAGATCATGCCCTGAGCCAAAGTTGGACCCCCAACCGACTGAGCCACACAGGCGCCCCGTGTCTTCCCATATTTTGATGAATATTTTTATCCATATATTACTTACTCCACATTCCCAGATATACTCAGTTCCTGTCAGGAGATTGACTTCGATCCCAAACAGAAAGCAACTTAACGGATGCTATATTTGGTACCAAACACGTTGCCATTTAGTTGCAGCGTGTGTGCAAAGGGAGAATCTGAAGCCTGACATAAAGGATTATCTGAACCCAATGACCTCATCTCCTTGCTGGGAAGTGATTCTCATTTCTTCAGGCACTGGCAGTAGGAATTGAAAGTATCCTAGAAAATCAGATGTGAAATGCCCATTTCAGAAAGCAGTTCACAACGTTTATCTAGTGGTTTAAGACAGTGCCAGAAATACCTATGGGCAAACCAACATTCCACCTCCCTACACATCAGTAAAGAGTAAAAAACAGTTACAAACTAACAGAACTTTTAGAAGCAGGCTGTAAGTCTGAGAAAAGATAGAACCAAATGGAGCATGTGACTGTGCTAAACCAATACTTGGTTTTTGTGAGGGTTTTATCTCAAGAATGTGACGTTTTCATTCCTACAAGCATTGAACAATACTACTGTCCAGCTTAAAAATAAATAGCCAGTTACTTTACTAGCAAACTGAATTTATTCAGGAATGACAAAGGAATTTCAACTGAGGATAACCACACCATGGCAATCCACAGGCAAGGTTCAAGAGACAGAGGGAAAGTCAGCATTTAAAAAAAAATAAAAGTCCAGAGCTACTTTCACAAATGTTTATTTTTTTTAGAGAGGAGAGCAAGTGGGAGAGGGGCGGGGGGGGGGGCGCGCACATTGGATCCAGAGCACGCTCCGGGAGACACCAGATAGCTCAATGTGGGGCTTGAACTCATGAACCATAAAAAAATGGCCTGAGCTGAAGTTGGAAACTCAACCAAGTGAGCCACTTAGGCACCACAAAAGTCTGGGTTTATTAGGTTTAAGGTGGAGATTGGGGAGAGTTGCTTTCAACAAAAGTTCACTGAAGAAGAAAAGTTTGAGGTTGTGGCGGGTTTTCACTGGCTGCATGCCATGGTTAGTGTTTCCTTACTGGGGCAAGGAGAGATCATCCTTCTTTTTGTGAAAGGCAGGAGATTAATTTCCTCCTGGGAATGTGTCCTCCCTTGTCAAGACAAAAGTTATCTCCCCTCCTCCTGCTCTTTATGCATGTCATGTCTGTGTGAGAGGTCTCCCTCCAGGGCCTCCTGAATCCATTCTAGTAAGATTTCATTTACTAATTTTCACACTAATTTGGAGACTTAAAGAGGACATTTAGGACACCCAGAATAGTTAAAATGAGAGGTAAATTCAAATGTCATGTTTATTCACTGTTCTAAAAAATGTGCATTGAGCACATAATGTGTTTGCAAGAACTTTTGGTAGATGCATGGGAAAATTCAGTTACAAGAGAAGCAGTCCCATCTTCATGTGCCTTTTATCGTGTTCAAGAAAAACACAGGAAACATGAAGCAGGAATACTAAGTTCTATTGTACGTTAGAATGTGGCAGGTGTGATGGAAACAACAAGAGGTGATTTTGTGAGAAAAGGACATTGGAGGGGTGCCTGGGTGCCTCAATGGGTTAAGTGTCCTACTTCGGCACAGGTCATAATCTCACAGTTCATGAATTCGAGCCCTGTATCGGGCTCTGTGCTGACAACTCAGAGACGGGAGCTTGCTTCAGATTCTGTGTCTCCCTCTCTCTGCCCCTCTCATTCTCACACTCTGTCTCTCTTGAAATAAATAAATAATTTTTAAAATTAAAATAAAAAAAGAGAAGGACATTTTACGTAATATTACACAGGGCTGTGTGGCAGCCCTCATTATTACGTGCACCATGAGTAAATGTGAGTCCTGTGGGTTATTACTTTTATTAGTTTTGTTTAAATAAAGTGAGGTACATTAAAATTTAGAAGTGCCTTGGGGCGCCTGGGTGGCGCAGTCGGTTGAGCGTCCGACTTCAGCCAGGTCAGGATCTTGCAGTCCGTGAGTTCGAGCCCCGCGTCGGGCTCTGGGCTGATGGCTCAGAGCCTGAAGCCTGTTTCCGATTCTGTGTCTCCCTCTCTCTCTGCCCCTCCCCCGTTCATGCTCTGTCTCTCTCTGTCCCCCAAAAAATAAATAAACGTTGAAAAAAAATTAAAAAAAAAATTTAGAAGTGCCTGTTTGAGCAAACACCAAATCCAATCAGGCAGCCCCAAACCCAACTAGGGGAAAGGCTTTTGTGGACCAAAATGAGAAGAAAAGGAAACACGTTACATGACTGGCTATAGCTTCAGAAACTATCTTATATGGGAAAGCCTAGTTGCCTGTTAGAGACAGGGTACCCTTGGGTTTTGAATTCTGACCCTTGAGGCATTTACAAGAATTTGCTTGAAGTGAGGTGTAGGTGGCTAAGGCATTGGAGCCACCTGAGTCTAATGGCCTTCTTGTGGATGTACAGTTTCCAGCAAAAGAAACACGTTGGTAGGTGGCTTCAGTGTGTGGACTCCTTGGCATCGGAGCCCCTGGAACTCCATTCATTTAAGCCTTTAGATTGCTTGGCTCACTGCAGAGAAACTCAGGAGGTGTCCATTAGACATCTTTGGACTGGGGGGGGGAGGAGCTAAGATACTGGCAGAGTAGGAGGATCCTAGGCTCATTTCTTCCCTTAAACACGACTAAATAACTATCCAATCACTCTGAATACCCATAAAATCAACCTGGGTTCAACAGAACAAACTGCACAACTAGAGGGAGAGAAGATGTCACATCAAGGGAAGCAGGAAGTGCAGAGATGG